AGGAAAGAAGTGTTTTGGGAAGAAACTCTTTTGGATGTTTGCCCTTGGGGAAAAGGAAGGAGAAAACGAGAAAGGCCATTAGACCCTCTTCATTAAAAAGATCTCCAGGAGCCTGTCTTGAAATGGATTATTTAATACTTCTTCCACAAGAGGTTTCTAGAAACCTGCTTTTGACTTTTGGTATGTTTGTTTGTCAGATTTCCCAGGGCCTGGTGGCCCATGTGCCGTTTGCCACCCAGTAAGCCGTGGGGCATGGCGGAGGTGACCCTCCCCAAGGACAAGACAGGGAAGGTGCTACCTGCTGTCCCACGCTCAAGGCCAGCCACAAACTTCACTTGGGCCTCTAGCCACCAGGCAGTGGAGGAGGGCTGCTTGTATGTGGCAAACCTGGGCAGCTCATTTTTCTCAGGCTTCACAACCCCTTCGCTTTGGGGGGGCGGGGCGCAAACAGGAGGTGGGGTTTTGGTGGCGAAGGGTTCAGGCAAGTGACACTGGCCACCAGAGCAATGATACATGTGGCTGTGAGTGCCCAGATGAGCCCCAGTTTCCAGGCAGTTTTAATTGGGGGAAAAATCCCTTTGGGCTGAAATCATATCGGCATTGTGATTTCAAAGGCAGCATTTTCAGAGATCAAGCATCTTTCCCCTGTAGTTTAGAAATTTCTGTTCTCAGAACTTTGACCTTGATATAATCAGAAAGTTCAAAGCCCCTCGCTTAGGCGAATCTCTCTGTCCTCGCCGTCCCTGAAAAGCAGACACTGAGCAGCAGGAGCAGTTGTGTCCCAATTTTCCAGATGAGGAAATTGAGGTGCAGAGAGACTCAGATGGGTTTCTCCAGGACTCTCGGGGGATCACAAGCCTTTATTTAGGAAGCTGGCATCTCCCCCGGTGGCGATTGCTCAGCATCTGAAGAAAACATGTTGAAAATAATCCCCTAATATAAAAAGCAGCTTGGAAATGACAACCATTTGTCTTGTGTACAGTGAGTAGCAGTTCCCTGTAGGTATTGGGTTTGAGCCCTGTATCTAACAGGAAAGGATTTTTGTGGGATTTGTTCTCGTTGCCATTTTTATTGTGTGNAAAGAGTAGAAAGATAAAATACACCCATTATGCCTTCACTTTAAAAGTTACACATATAAAGAAAGAAGTGAGTCTTCATCATTTCTCCAACCCACTTAAACCCCCCATGAGAATGACTATTAACAGTTTGATGAATTCCTTGATAAATAGATATATTTCTATTGTGTGACTGTCAATCAGAAAAAAAAAAAAAGCTGTTCGTTGTAAAAGAAAAAAATGGGTTCAAGTTATGAGTGTTAAAGTAATAGTAATGAAAACCTTCCTGATTTTCATAATATTATCCTGATTTACAACATACTTTTCTAAGCATCCTAAAATGTGGATTTTGGTAACTGGAATGTTGAGCAATTGACTTCTCTTACATTTTTTTAAAAAATTAGATACATGACTTGTTTTTCTAGGTTAGACGAGTCATGGTTATATGAGAAAGCAGAAGAGAGGAAATAAATTTAAGGTATCTTCGCTTCACTTCCAGCTGTGAAAAGAAGATAACTTTCCCTCCAAGGCAGTAACGCACGCTGCGAGGACTTCTCAGTGTTGGCGTAGTAAATACGGGACCATATTTTCATGATATGCTCTCACAAGCAGAAAGTACATTTGTGGTGAAAATGACTCAGAGTCATTGAAATTTGGACTTAGAAAATCCAGGCGATAGATATGAATATATACACATTTTAAGAAAGGAAAAACTGCTAAAATTGTGATAATATATACCAATAACAAAAAATTAATACAAGTCACGTTTGACTTCTGCAATTACAAGAGGTGCTCAAAGTGGTTACCATCAGCGTCCAGACACTTCTGATTATGGGAAATTACTGCTTGAGCAACGTTGACCAAAGTGTCCACTTGTATATAATTTTTTTGGCACCTCTGGCATGTGCATGCGCGCGCACACACACGTTCACACACATATATATAACTATAGATAATTCATTCCTTTATAGGCTTTATATTTATCAAATCATAATATTCATTCTGAGATTGTGTGTGTACATGCAAATACACACACACACACACCGATATCTTTTTTTATATGTAGATTTGAAAAAGGACATTCAGTACCCCCCAAGAAAACTCTAAAATAAAAATGAAAAATGCTGTTCCAGCCACATGTCATGCTGTGGTCCCACCTCTCGGCCCCCAGCTCCACATCTGCGCCCCACTGTGCATGGCGCAGCCTCTGAGGCCCGTCCTCTCTGGTCCAGGGCAGGGTGTTGGGGGTTAACTTGTGGCCCAGCAGCAGCTGGCAGCAGAGGTGACTGCATTCCTTCGACAGCACTGAGGTGCATTTTAATCACTGGGAACATATGCGTAGTCGGGGAATGTATTTTTGGTGTGCAGCCTATACCTAGTCTAAATGCTAATTATGAGAATAGCTTTAGCAAGGCACTTACGCCTGATTTGACGTGAAATAAAAAGGACTATGGCCCATGCATCTTTCTTAACACACAGATTCACTTTTCTTCTCTAGGGATATTCCTGAAGGGAGGGAAAGCTGACAGGCAAATTGCTATGTAATTTGGCTTAAACACCATCACTGCCTGCGAGAAAGGAACAGGGGGGTGACACTTGTGCTTATAGAAGACTTTGCTTATGAAGAAACACTCACTCTTGCGTAGTAAGAGGAGGAGGCAGAGGGAACAAAGGCACCAGTGGTCCTAGAACATTCAAGCCTGAAGGCATTTGGAGTCACAGACGGGGCCCAGTTGGGCTTCATGCAGAAAGAGACTCAGAAACAAAGGAGCAAGTCTCCCACCCCTCAGAGTTAGTCAGGAGCTGTCTGTCCCTAAGTCAGCTTTGGAAATTGCTCTTGAATTCTCTCATTCATTCTGTCAACATTTGCTGTCATCTTGTGGGTACCAGACACTGCCAAGACATGCTAGAGCCAGTCTGAAACTGTACTTAGATCATTCAGTACCTAATAAGTTGCAGGACACATTGTTCATGCCCCAGTAAATTTTGTTGAAAGCCCTAATTAAACTCTTACCTAACGTTGACTGATGGTCATTGGTTAATGGTAGTTGGTGAATGTCCTGATGACAGAACAGGTTAGGGTACTTGAAGTTGGCACAAAAAAAAGAGTGTACTCAGCCTTCTACACAGAAATGCCCAACATCTTGGGATTTCACAGGCTGTGTATTGGTCTACT